AGCCTGCAATGCCAGGACAGGTATTTAAACACCTTAAATACTCCACAGGAAGAGTGGAAAGCTGCTTTCCAAAGGAGAAGAATAGTGGCCTATAACTGTCCGTAGACCCAGCTAATCTCCAGTTATCTGTTCTGATAGCCAAATTACACTCTTATCAATGTTGGTCATGTCCCTGCCAATGCAATTACCATGCCTCATTGGCCTGTTACGTCTCTTAGTGATTTTGCTGCTGGCTGGAGAGGGTCGAGGTCTCTGTCTGCAAAATGGTCCAACCCAAGCAAACCCACTCCCTGCTGTGGCAAAGCTCGTTGTTGTGATCCATAATCCTCCCTGCTCCCTGTAGCTGATTCCCCTGATTATGTGTCAGAACAGGAGTCCAACCTGTTTTTCGAATCAGCAGCACGTCCTTTCATTAGTTAAGGTACGCAGGTTTGACACAAAAGGTGTCTCTGAGATGTCTCTGGACTGCGAGATAGGAAGGCAGCATGTGTCTGTCAGGATAACGCTTGACTCAGAATGGGCTGTTTGCCCCGTTTTCTAGCTTTTTGGCTGCTGTACAGATAATAGGACCCCTCCGGAGCGGAGGAAGTCTGGCATTGAGGCAGGATTCTCTCGAGTAATACATGGCCTTGGTGGGTATTAATCCTGGTAATTTAGGCAGGTGCATGCGAGTGATGCTAGAAACTAAATATAGATTTCCTTGTTAAATGTTTAGTTTCTGTAACAGCATTTTCTGAAATGCCAGAGAGTCTGCAGAGCATACAGTCTCACTGTGGTGATAAGGTTCATAAACGGCAGAAAAAAAAGACCCAAAGAATTATTAATGTTGGGGTTTGGGGGTCAAGTAATTGGCCAAAAAATGTTTACAGAAACATTTAAGAAAATCTTGAGGTTTTGCAATTATTTCTGCACACAAATCACTACATTGGTTTATCCAAATACTACTGAACACCAAACCAGGTCCCAACCATAGCTAGGATGGAATTGAAATGCCAGATTTATTTCTGACTCTGTTCATTTATCGGAGTAGCTTTATTTCTTGTATTTGTAACCATGACTTGCTTTTCTAGCCACAAGATCAGGTCACAGTTGCATCTCATCTTGTGCCAATGCAAATGTGTCCCTGTCCTGTTTAAAATCATTCTTTACTTCCCATGTTTTCTCTCAGTTGTGCCATGGAAATTTTCATGGGCTTTGATTTCCCCTTAGTTCTTATTTCTCCTCTACTAGTGTTACCATGCTGATTTGTCTTTTCCTTACGCTGTAATTGGTCTGGTGCCACTGTGTAATTTTTAACTGTGTGCAGTATCAACAGACCTCCATCTGTCTCTCCTCCAGAGCTTCCCAGCCTGCCGTTATAAATATCTGCCAAATCCTTCTCCAAAGAGAGGATCACCAGATTCCAACTGTTTGCAAAATAAGAGATGCTGACAGAAATGCTCTCCCACCGCCTGCAACCTGTGCAGAACCTGTGTCCTGCACATTGTGAGATGTTTACTGCTGGCACTGAGGAGCTCTGACCGTTGCTTGTAATTTATTGTCCCTCAGAAGTGTACCCTTCTGCAGAGAGTTCAGCATATTGGTCTGTTTGCTCAAATATCTCATTATGTGTGTCATTTTATTAGAAAATAACCTTCAATATCCATCAGGTAATAAAAGCAAAATAACTTGAGGGTTGAGGGTTTTTTCCCTCTTTAAAATGCAATTCTGATTTAAAACATGCTGTGGGATGGATTGGTTCTAGTGTTGTTTTATAAGATACTTTACTTGACCTGGGTGGGACTCCTAGTGTATGCCCCTTTCCCAGCCTGCTGCTTAGAGAATGAGGGCCGGTTGCCATGATGTAGAGCTGGAGTAACTGATAGGACTTGCTGACTGTACATCCATGTTGCTGAGAGCCAAGTTTGATCTTCCACCTCTCTATACATATACATAAGAACAGATCATTAGAAGAATTAGCACAAACCAGGGAATGCATTGATTAGATTGTGCACGCTAAAAAATAGCAGCTTTTCTAACATGGGTAAATAAAATCATATATAAACACATATGGATAAAGTAAAAAATATAGATTATGATGTAGGTGCCCTTTTAACACTGTTAAAGCCATTCTCATAACAGTCCATTGATTCAAGGCTGTTAGGCTCATGTGGCTTTTTAAATTCAGTTGTGTACCTTAGGCTATGATCATCACATGTGTTAGCGTTTGCTGGTGGTACGGCAGCTTGCCGTGGCTGAGGAATTACCCACGAATCACTTTAGGTGCTGCTGCAGACACCAAGTTAACAATAAATGTATGTTTGAATAAAGCTCTTGCCAGCTAAAGTCAGATCCAAGGAGCAAGGTTCCTGTTCTATCTATGGGATATTGGAATAAGTCAGCAGAAAGGATTTTACAAGGTTATTTCAGGAGAGGGTTTCATGTTTGGATCTGCTGCATCTTAGTCGTGCAGAGGTTTGCAAAGGAACATACGGAATGTAAAGCAGCTTGGGGGTTTGATAAATCCTTTTTCCAGTCTACATTCAGAATAACCCAGTATTTCCAAGAGACAGAAAAGTGGGTACCATGCTTGTTTGACATGTGCATGGACCATGGGAACTATGGCTGGAGAGCGGTTTTCTGTAGATTAGTAGAGGGAAGCACCTGAAGCACCGAAGAAATTTGGGAGATTGTTTCATGTTGTCAGGTTTAAAAAATACCAATATTTTCACTGTCTAGATTGCACTGTGGATTTGGTGTCCATTTTTGAAGGTTTTAGGACAATCAGGTTCATGATTTTCTAGGAGGGTGTGCTACCACTTAATAATACATTATGACAGGAGAGAAATATGTACAAACAAGTCTAAGCCTGCAGGACAAGCTATACTTACTCCCAAATGAATAATATCCCCAGCCATTGCCGGGGGTGGCAGGGAGCAAATAGAAAAGTGAAATTAGAGAGACCGGACTATCCCGGCGGTGATGTGCTGACTGCCTGGCGTGTCGAGCTGGCAGCACAAAGGAGCTGGGCTGGGGGTATAGCTGTGCTTGCAAGATTGAGATCTAGCCCTTATTTAAGTCCAATATTCTGGAGCAAGATTTTCTTGTAAAGGAACAGCCATGATTTGTTTAAAGTCTTGGAGAGATAAAAAGCAGATGGCATTGATTAGCTAATTAGTAATATTTTCTGCAACTTATCAGCTTTGCTGATATCTGTAAAATTTGCAAAACCCTGGGATGAAGCTTTCTCTCTTTGATTTGTTGAAGAAATCAACTATTTTAAATTCTTCCCAACAGAAATATGTTAATCTTTTCCTTTGAATTTATATTCAGGGCTCATTTCTTCATTTTTGAGGGGAATATGCGCAACAAGGTTGCAGCGCTCCTAGCTGTTGTCTTGATTTCATGCTGTATTGTGTGACATGCCATAGGTTTCTAGCTCTTCCATATTGCTGTTTGTGGGCATGTTCCTTCCCCTTTTGCATTTATTATGGAGACAAAGCCAGGCTGACTTTTAGATTGTCTCCTTGTGAACCCTTTGCAGCCACAGCAGAGCCCTAGCAGGACTTCTGCCAAATGTTGGCCACCTCTGTGACCACTATTATGACAGTGGTCAGTGCTGTTTTGGTCAGAGCGTCGCTGGGGTGTTGGAGGCCTCTCTGGCCTTGAGTTACATTGCATACAAGACAGATATCTTGATGTTGTCTCTATGATGGTAATTGTTCATCATATAGTGCGAGACAGAGTACCTTACTAAGATATTAACATAAAGAAGAATGTCTAAGAAAGGATATCAGCCTTTCAGACCCCGCTGATTGGATAGCAAAGTCTTCACATAGCCAAAAAACATGAGACTTATCCAGTTTCTCCAGCAGTGCAAATACAGGAGGGCTCATGGGCAGATACCAGTCCTGGTACTCATGGTGGTGGGTGGACACAGCTTCAGACTCCCAACAAGCCCCATAATTAGGACTTACTGCGAATTCTCTGGAGGTTTGAGCTCTGCACCAGCACTACCCCAAAGCCTTTCATGCGACAGGATCCTGGTGCAGAAGCTGTATTTTAATTGCCAGTGTGTAGCGTGGGTGACACACGAGCTGTCAGCTGGCCACCTGTGACAGCAGGGAATGAGAAAGAGCTTTGTTTTTCTCTTCTAGGAAACTGTCCTCCCTTGCAGATGCTGTGCAGAACAGCTTTGCAGTGCTTATCTTCCATTTAAGACTTCAAAATAGGGCATGATCCAGGTTGAGGTGGGGGCCAGACATGATACTGGTCAACTGCCTGAGTTGTGCTCCATCCAAAGGCCATCAAGACTGCAAATTGCCTAAAGTGAGGGCAAGATTTGCCCCTCTGTTATACAGAGCTTTCTGTTTTCCATACAGGTCGGTGTTGAAGCTTTAGCCTTTCTATTTCCATCAGAATGACATTTTTTATTGGTTCTTAAACTGAAGAAACAACAAATCCTGCATCCTCTCTGGAGCACGGTCTTGTTAATGTTCTTTGAAACATGACATGTGTCGTGGCCGTCAAACTGCAATGATCCCATTTCTTCTGAAATGAGAAAAACATGTCACTTTTGGCTCTAAGTAATACAAAGGGAGAGTCATATTTTAGATACTGCATGGCTGCCAAAGATGAACAAAAAATGTTATTACTTTTGGAAATTTCATAATTACAGTTAATGATAATTTAATGAAATGACATTGCCTTCACCACTATCACTAATGAAATGTTTGAAAGTGATAAAACAGATCTTGTTAAATAGAGAGAGTGTCTTGAGTGAAATAGCTTTGTGACAGCAGCCTGCATGTGCAAGTCTTGGATTCATATTTTTTTGTTACAGTAGTTTACAAAAGAAGATAAAATGAAGGCTACATGGCAAATAACGCATGCATGAAGTATTTAAAGGCCTTCCATTAAGCAAACAATACTGAACTCCTGAATAACATGCTGTTGACCAAGTACGGCTTCTTAGAAATGCTAACCCTTCATTAAAACACTTTCCTTGTTTTTCTTTGCAGACAAACCAGAGAACAAGAAACCCCGCCTGACTTTTTTTATTTCTCAGATTATGAAAGACATAATGCAGAAATAGCAGCGTTTCATTTGGACAGGCAAGTAAAATGTATTTGCATTAAAAGAAAAGTGGAAATATTGTGATAAGTTTCTGCACTTGGCCAGCCCTGTAACTGAATTACTTTTTAAAAAGGGGAAAATGGAACAAAGGTGGGCAAGTGCCATGAATAAATGAAATGGTAGATGATGAAAGGGTGGATTAATAATTAGGAAACGTGACTTGCTCTGGGAATGAGAAACCTGGCAATAAGTAATTCTCAAAAGAAAGAGAAATTATATTGAAGAGAAGCTGAATTTCCCCTGTGATCTTGAAGTGGATATGGAGAGGACCCATCTCCTGGGGAGTATGTTGCATAAGTGTGATGGGAGGCTGGCTCACCCCAATTAGCTCCAGGGCATGCAAGTCCAAGCGAGACATGGGGAATGGTGTGAGTGTTCAGAGAGGATTAATTGAGATGGGGATAGAGTCCTGATTTCACAGCAAAAAGCTGGGGCCATCGCATATCAGGAGCATGTTTAGGCAACAAGTTAGTGGGAAGGCATGGGCAATGGTGGTCATCCCATGCTTCTGTAAGCTGAAAATGTACCCCCAGCCAAAGTTAGTGCAGGGTATGTTGGACACCTCAAGACTGAGAAGGGACTGCAGCCCTCTCAGTCTACCAAGATTAGGAATGGGAATTAATAATGAGTGATGAATTACTGGCTCAGTGTGGCTAGAAACCATGGCATTTCACAGGCTGAGTTAGAACTGAAGCATCTTTCACACCCTGGCGTGCCAAGAAACATCCTTTCAAAAGCTTGAAGCTTTGGAGCCACAAATTATTTGGGGGTACGTGTAATATTGCTGCCTTCTGGGTTGGTGGTTAGGATAAGGAAGCCTATCGGTGGGTGGCACACGACAGATTTGCCATTAAGAACGGTCCTGGTCAGATCCTTCAATGCTCTTCTGTATTTTATTGTTGTTGACCTTGGTGTTGATTCCTTCTGCTTTGTATTTTATATTGCCATTTTAAGCAGATGGTGCTGTAGGAAAAAACATTAATGGAGTTCCTGCAGGGAGGTATGTTAAATATCTACACATTAAGCAGAAAAAGCAGTTGCTACCCAATGTAGAAAATCTTATCAGCAGACAGAGGACATAAAAATCCCACCTATGGGGAGGCTTTGCATGGGGATTTTGCTCTTTTACTATATCTAATAACAATGCTTCATAGGGAGTTTTTAATGATCTACTAAGTCAAGGGAGTTTGGGGTAGAGAAGGCTCTTCACCCAGCCTTTGCCTGTGGGAAAATTTTTAGTCTCAGGGAGATTTTTTAGGTTGGTGTAAGGATATTAAAACAGAGAGAAGCATAAGCAAATAAATCAAACAAATACTAAGACTGTCAGAAGAAAAATTACTAGTATATGGTGTTTCTGGAAGAAAGAGGCTGAAATCCCATTCCTCAAGTCACTTAAAAAATTGGTGAGCAAAATGCATGCTGTAACAACCCTGAAGTAGCACAAAGTCAAAAATAGGTTTCTACTGTCTCCTATTTCTGGAATTCAATGTATCATCATTTTTTTCATGGAACAATGTGTCCCCATACTTTTCTGTATTTTGCATCTGCTCCATACTGTATAGGCAAGTCAGAGCTGATCATATGCAGGACATACTTTGTAATATAATATATTATACAAAGTATTATCCAGTGTAAAGTTGATGGGCTTTTTACTCCTTAAAGACCACAGATAAATGTGCCTTCAGAGTGTAATGAACCTTCCTAAAACCTATCACTATCATTATATTTTAATCCTTTACATAAGCTATCTCTTTTCTTTCTCTTCCAGGATCCTGGATTTCCGTCGTGTGCCACCAGTTGCAGGTAGACTGGTTAACATGACAAGGGAAATACGAGATGTTACTCGTGACAAGAAACTGTGGAGAACGTTTTTCATCTCACCAGGTAGTCTTGGAAATAACACTATATTCCTTCTATCCCGCCAAACACGTACTTAAGGGAACAATGTGTAGATTGCTTAATTGCTTAGATATTTCCAATAGAACTGTCTTCTAGACCGTTGAATAAAAATAAATGTGGAGACATAGCCTACAAAGAAGACTTTATTGTTTTGAATTGAGTGCCTTTTCCCCTTGACAAATTATCCGCAGAGACAGGCTTTTATGTTCACAAAAGCAATGTATTCATGAAATGTTTTATGTAGAGCAATTTCTAAAGCAGTTTCTTCTGTTGCTTTCAGTTTACCCAAAACCTTATTACTTAGCCCATTTGTTATTTAGACTTTTTTTCTCTACTGCAATGGGATCCGTCACTTCTGTTGGTCAGATGCATTTATTTCTCGGTTTTGACTGGAGGACCAAAACCTAATTTTCTCAGTCATGCACTTCAGTTTTTATTACAACAGGAGTTTCAAAAAAAAAAGAGTCAAGCAAACGGAGGTCTAACATATCCTGCTTCCAGCTCAAATTCTCTGCTGGGCAGAGGCCAGAGTAGAAGTGACTGGAATTGTTCCCAGTCCTCATTCTTGCTTTGAGGGCTGACCCCAGGAACCTGATACTACTCTTTGTTACTCTTCACTCTTTCACGATGTCTGGTGGCCCTAGCCAAGGGTGGAGCTCCACAGGGTGTGAATTTTACAAACACAGGGTAAAACCACTCCCTGCTCACCAGAATGTACTACTGGATTAGGTGAAGATGGGCAAAGGGTGGGAGAAAGTGGTATCATCTCTGTTTAGCATCTAGGATGCTGAGATGGAGAAATTAAGGCTCTGGGTTAAGGCACAAAAGTACATGCTTAAGTATGTTCTTAGAGAAACAATATATAGGGAAATGTTCCGTTTAAAGCATGTAGCTATGTTCCAGTGAGCTTAACTCATATTATTTCAGCTTCATGCAAACGTGTTTTGCTGAACTCAGGCTGTGACTTGTGTAACAGGCAATCTGGAGCAGAAATCTCCAGAGATCACTCTCTTGCTCTATGTGTGATGGGCCAGAAGCTCTTTATCCCGGATCCCCCAAGTCAAGATCCAAAGACTTAATTACAGTTTCTCCTGATGTAATTGTAATTGATTGCTGTTAGCTAGAAACGAGAGCCCTGTCATTGCAGAGCTTTCTCTCTTAAAATGTTTGTCACACTTTTGTGGTCACCAATAAAGTCATTATTATGGCTGTTATTTTTAACTTCGTATTTATGTTCAGCTCAACAGGACACGGTTGAGCAGACAGTTATTTATTCCAGTAACTTCACTTCTAAAATACATTACATAATTACAAAAGGTTTCATCTTACCCCGTGTGACGAGTGCTCCAATTTTACATGTACAGTCGTGATCACAGTGGCAACAGTGTTCACCAAACCTGATGTGCAGACATTTCTGCATGCTCCAGCTAGGCACTTGTGCCTCAGTCGCTTTCTCTCCCTCTCCCTCTCCCTCTCCCTCTCTGTCCAGTCTTTTTGGTTTTGCTTCATATTTTGTAGGCAAACAATCACACACTAAAGATGGCAAAAGCATCTTGTGACTGTTTATGTCCCCAAGGTACTTTGATTCATTTGAAATATAAGCCATTTTATTCCCATTTTAGCAAGTAAGACATGGTTTAGTAAGTTCGCTTGCTTTTTAGTCTTCCCAGGTTATATATCAAGGCTTAGGGGTGAACTTCAGTGATTTCTGAGAAATACAAAACTGTACTCAAGTACTGAGCAGCTTAGAGCAGCCGGAGCACGGCAATGCAGAGTTAAGACTGCCGGTTCAGATGAAGATCTTTATCTTGTCATTATGAAATTCCAGACATCCAAGGGATGATCCAAGCATAATCCTTTATTCAAATTTATTTAGAGGCCTCAGATAAATTCAATTAAAATATTTGATTAACTATGAATCAGGCTTTTCTGGAGAATAAAACACTTAAGCAATTAATTTTTCATTCAATTCTGCATTTCTTAAATCAATATACTTTGCTTAAATCATGTTGGTTACTTGTCAGAGTTCTTCCCTACAAGTCCCCAGTTTAATTAGTTGGATTCTCATTAACATGTGCCCAACCTCCATCTTGGTATTTTCCTACTGACCTTAAAAGGCAGGCAGTAATTAATGCTTAATGAAAAAGTAATGAAGGTCCTAAATTGAGCGGTTAGAAACAAATTCACAAACCTAGCAGGCAGCTCAACCAGCAGGTTGAGGGCAGAAAAGGGAAAAGAGGAGGATGCTGGGATGAGCCCCATGGCCTGGGGTGGTGAGGATGGAGAGGGAACGGGGAGCCCGGGGAAGACTGGAAGAGGCTGACTTGTGCCCTCTGGCAGATGAGGCACAGAAGTCAGTTGGTTTTGAGGGAGAACTGGTTAACACAAAGCTGAGAAATTGAGGTGTGACTTACATATAGTTGTAAGAATCAATCTGTGAACCCGCATTAAGCTATCGAGGCCCCTCTGGGACTCCCTCTCAGGTGTCTGTCTCTGCATCTCCATCCCCAGCGGTGCTCAGTGACAATTAATGGTCAAGGGGACACATGGTGTCTGCTGGCACTGTATCTCTCTCCATGCACCCATGTGGGTCTCTTAAAATTAAACAAGCACTAAATGTAATTGATTTTTTACAAAGCTTTTCCCCTCTGGCTGGGAAACCACTGTTTTCAGTGGAAACTCTGAGATGGTAAATATTGATGATGCTCATCAATACACCATGTTATTCCCTGGACCGGTGCAGGGATGTGTTGGAAGAAACCTCACTGCATTTCCATGCCTGGGCCATCTCACTTGTCCCATCAGGCGTGGAAATCAGGGCCAAGAAGCTGCAGGCAGTTGTAGCTTGAGAGCACACTGCAGGACGACATCCCTTCTTCCATAGGAAAGTGGAAATGGCTGCGAGCAGACAGGTCAGTCGATGCATTAGGCTGCATTCAGAGAGAAAGCAGATTGCAGAAAAGTGCACTTCCAGGCAGTTTGGACTAAACATGAAAAATGGAATTAGGTCAGTAATTATTTAAATTAATTTTACATCCTTTGCAGTAGGGCAGACTGCAGTACCCCTGCTACTCTTACAAATGAATGGTAATTTGCTAGGAAAAAAGAGACATATTAATGATGTCAGCCTTCGTTTTGGAAGTAATTGAAGCAGTACCTTAAAGAAATCAATGTTACACAGCTAGTAAGCATTATGTTTTTGTTCATATTAACCAATTCCAAGGGATTATGGATTTTTTTCCCCACTCTCAGCAGACAATAGCAATTCTGAATTAGCTGTTATTTTGAGCAGGTAAAAGAAAGGTCGTTTCATGCATTGCTTTAGTAAATATTCAGGATTCTTTGCAGTACTCCAGTTGCGCAGGCTTGCTAAATGTCCTCTATTAACAGTCATGCAAATCTCAATAAAAGAATTCCTGAGAAAAAATATTGTTCAGCTATCAGAAAATGTGCAGATGAGTATGCAAACACTCTTGGTTCTTACTTGTTGTGATTAGTTGGAGTTTCAATCACCAGACCATGATTTTTGCATGATTTCCATTACAATTTTATTCATTCGTCCTCAGATAATGAAAATCGGACATCTGCAACACTGCTCGGGATTCTCTTGCCTCCCTAGTACTTTGGGGAAACAATTTGGATTTTTAATGAAGAAGGAGTTTGCATGTTGCAAATTCCCAGCATTTGAACATTTCAGCATGTATAAACATGCCTCTCTTTCTGGTTTGCCAGCCCTGCTCCTGTTGCCATTTCTACCCACTGCAGGAGAAAAAAATCCTGGCAGTTGCTTCTTTCACAGGTGTACTTAGGGACAGGGGTCTGTACAGAAACACGTGTATCAGATGAGAGAGGGCATAGGGGCTGGGCAATATGAATGGGAGGAGAAGGGCCACACTCTAGTTAGTCTCCCCGTTCCCTCTGATTTTCGCATTCAAAAGGCCAAACCCTGCTCTTAGCGTGCGATTGTTGGCGAAGCACTGGGCTCGTGTCTGTAGCTGGAATTTCACCCTCAGCCTGCTGTGCAGAATGTGGGTCACCTACTTAGGTTTCAGAGGCTTGCTACTGCACCTTGAAATCTTAAATGAGAACTGTGTTTTTCTATATTTCGTAGCTCTTTTTTTTCTACGCTTTTAAGAAACCTTAAAAATGAATGTTTCCCCAGGTAATTTAGGCTGCTGCATCTCACTGCCTGTATATAAAACTAGGGTAGACATCAAGATGTCTATTCTGTATCAATCAAAGCAGTTAATTTTCTTCATAGTAACGTGAGATACTGCATCCTTTCACCTCCGCTACCTGCAGAAATCAGACAGGAGCTGTGGAGAGTAAGTACCACAGGTCTGAGCCCACAGGGAGAATAATATCTGGCAGAAAGAGCTTTGCCATTGAAAGTAACTTCTCACCAACAAATACACTTGTGGGTTTACTGCAAGTTTGCTGCCTCAATGACAGGACACGTCCTGCCATTGCTTGGAGGACTGGACTACCGTTGCAGGCGATGGGGGCTCTGTGGGAAAATCAACAGCCGGAGGAGCCCAGCAGGAGCTGGGCTGAACATCCCAGCGTGGGGCAGGCAGCACACATGCTAGCTGTGTCGCTCCAGCAGCGAATGCCATCACTGCCACAGCCCCCGAGCTTTCCTGAAGATTTATCTGGATACGAATGTGTGATTACTGTCAAATGATTAGTCCCAGTTGCTTTCGTTGACAATACAGAGCAGGGTTTCATTGTTCCCAAAGTTAAATTCAGAAGCAAACTATTAAACACAGTATTTATCTTCCCACTGTGCAGAATGCTGTGTTTAATATAATTCCTTTTTTTGAAAGGTCAGATTTACATAGTGAGCAGCAGAGGCTGCGATAGCGCAGGCATTGCTGGGCCTTTGGCTCTTTGCAGACCTGTTAGGGCAGCAGATAACCGAGCACTGCCTTCCTGCTGTCGGGCAGAAGCCAAGTCATAGAAACCCTTGCAGATAAATTGTCTCAGGTGATCAGGATAAATCTGTGTGGGTTCCCTCCCTCCACAGACAAGCAGGTGATACTGACACAGCTGAATTGGAGCACAAGCCCCACTGCAGCTTCAAGTCACTGGAGAATAAACCCCTACTGCAGTGCAGGGGAGAGCCCTGCCTTCCCTCCGAGGCAGCAGGCACCTGAGAAATAAGGGATCTCTTTGTATCTCCTAACTCTTCTGGGTTATCCTGCAAGCAGCATCTGTATGTGATTTCTTGTAAATCATCCCTTGTGGCAGCCTGGAACCCCTTGAAATATTTTGTCTGCAGTAATTCTTTTTAGGTTATGGATCACAGATGTTTTGCCCCAGTTTTTATTGACTGAGAATATCCCAGCCTTCCTACCAGCCCAGTATGATCCTCCCATTTGCAGGCCGTCTGCAGCTGGCAGTGCTGCCTGCAGGTGCTTGGATAACTCTTCACTTTCATCCTGGATTATGGAAGAGGTTCACAGGGAGGCATGAAGCCCTCCTGGTTTTGCCAGGATGATCAAAGACGAAGTTGAGGCACCTGTGTTAGCATGGCAAAAGCTACGCCAAGTCTGTGCTGCAATAGTGGTTTTGAAAAGGAAACTCGTGAGAGGTTATAGACAGCAGGGCAGCACGCCCAGGGCTTGCATTAGATTGAGTTTGTGTAGATGTTGACTTTACACTTGATTTTAGACTAATGAAATGAGTGAATTTGAAGGAGGGCCACTGAGATGGTCCTGGAGCTGGTGCATCTGGTGTACAAGGAGAAGCTGAGGGTTTCAGACTTTTTTAACCTGGAGAAGTTGACCTGTAGCTTGGACTAGAGGCCTCCAGAGTCCCTTCCAACCTCGTTTTCCCTAACCATGATTGCTCTTTTCCCATGCAATTTGTAAAAAGATTTTCAAAACTTCACTCTCAACAATATGAGTTATATTACTGAGTTGCTTAAAAGGAAAAATGAGTGGGGTTTCTGTTTAGGAGTTAATAGGCATATTGTGTGATGAGCAGCACCAAGATTCATGCTGGTGTTCATAGGAAATAGCCAAGATGAGTGGCTTATTGGCCAAGGACATGGTCACTTCTTAGCTCAAACTGCTGTTTCTTTAATTAAAATGTTAAGGGACTAAGTATGCCTTCTATGTAAGAAAAAGCTTTTTAAAATAATTGTTAAGAAAGGATATTCTGCTTGGTAAAACACTTTAAGTTACAAAATTAAAAGTACAGACATGCTGAGTGCTCCCTCCCTTTTTTAATTTCTGTTCTTTGTGTTCTCTTCCCTGAAGTACTTTTCTTTCAGTAATTGTGAACGAGGCTTTTGACCACAGGGTGAATATTTCTGGACTGAGACAGGATGTATTTAACTGGCATGAGCCAACGCTGTGAATGTAAATATACAGTTCAGGTTGGAGTTGTTCCTGAGCACAGAGAGATGGGAGGCCCTTATGAGTCAGTCACAACAGAGGGTTTCAAAAAGGCTGTATCCAGAGTAAAGTAATCACAACTTAATGGACAAAGCTGATAGCCATCAATAAAGGCTTGAAGCGAAGAGCAGAGATAAACTGCCAGGTAGTGACACACCAGCCTTTTAGTCCAATTATACGATGTAATTCCAAGGTTAGGAGTTGGTCTCAGATAATATGGTTAATTAATACAATCAAAAACATCATGAGACCTTATTGCTCTACCACATTCTCCTTCTCCTTCCTCAGTTTCAACTCCTTGCCCTGTTTCTCCCTCCCTCCTAATTATCTCCATAGCACTGGGGCCAGTATTGCTCCCTGTTCTCTTGATTCATCGTCTCCCTTGCATTGCCCCGCAACCGTGTACCATCTCTGCCAGGCTCTTTGCCGGCTGTAGGTGGGGTCTGGACGGGGGATACGTCACGGTGCTGTGCAGGGCGGCATGCTGCAGGGCAGGGCATCGCTGCGATGAAAACCCACCAGCTTACCTTTCCAAGCCGCCTGGTCTTCTGTGGCAGGCAGAAAATCACCTCCCTCTGTTCACCAGCCCTTCCTGCCTCATTTGTACTGAGCCTGCCCAAAGGGAGAGTAGCTCAAGAAGCAATATTTGAATTTAGAGGCCTTGTGGGGAATTAGGAAGCAATGTGACTTCTCAGCTTTACCATTACCATAAAGGAAAGGGCACAGTCTTCCTCTAATGACATTTTATGTGCATAAAGCAGTGTCAAAAGAATTGTAGCACACTGACAAGAAGATCAGCTTTGTGCTTTTATTCTTGTTCATAGTCCAACATTGGTGGACTTTGGGGATGAGCTGCTCTCTCCCGCCTCCAGTGAATTCACATGGGAAGGGGGTTCTTGTAAAGAGGTGGGTGTTTCTGTTAGTACAGAAATATGTGGTGGCAGGTTTGGGGAGGTTTTAAGGTAACACACACTGCAAAACCTGCTGCAGGTTCTTATTCTGTGGTTGTTGAAGTAACGTGATGCGTGGAGGAAGAAATTTGTGTTTGGGATGTGTGCTGACAGAGTTACATCTGTGCTATTTCCACTTTCTACATACACCCCCAGATAAGTCTTCATGGTAAATAATTCTCCTTAGTAAAACTGCCAGTTCTTCTCATACCAGCAAGTAAATGAATGAAATGTTGTTGTCTCTTCTTAAAGAAAGGAGCCAAGATTTTGAAAGGTGACTTAATTTTGGGCATGTGCCACTTGTTCAGCTGTGGGATTTGGAGTTCCAGCCTAGGGTAATAAATATATCCCAAAGGATGTGTCAGTCTGGGAAAATGAAAGGAGAAGGGAAAGGATTAAAAAAAAAAATAGTTAAATTTGGTTTTCTGGAATATAAATAGATGGAAATAGTCACAGAGAGCTCAGCATAGGGCGTGATCCCAGGCACTGAAATGAATGTCTTGCTAGTGGTTTCAGTGGAAGAAAAGTATGTGTGGTAACGGGGTTTTAGGTCTGAGATTTGTTTCTGCTCATACATACATCAGTGCTTTTATGAATTCTTGAACATTGATTTAAGGGTAGGTTTTAAACCTCTTTTCCTTTATTTGCCAGCCAACAACATCTGCTTCTACGGGGAATGCTCCTACTACTGCTCAACAGAGCACGCCCTGTGTGGAAAACCAGATCAGATCGAAGGGTCTCTGGCTGCTTTCCTACCCGATTTGTCTTTAGCTAAAAGGAAAACCTGGAGAAACCCTTGGAGACGTTCCTACCACAAGCGCAAGAAAGCAGAGTGAGTAGTGGTGAGCAAAGGGTTTGCCAGCTGCAAAGGGTAATTGGAAAACAAAACAGTTCTGCAGTTACTGCCCCTGACTGATCTAAAGCGTTGAGGCTTAGGAGAACATCTGCATTTCTGCAGCAGGTCCAGCTCCTGGGAAGGGGCAGAGTACTTACACCTGCAAGGAGCTCCAGCTTATGGTCCTGAATTTGAAAGGACCTTCAATGGCATAATTCCCTCACAGGACAGATACCTCCAGTGGCTTTGACAGGATGCAATGGGACCTGTCTTAAGTCCTATGAGAGGGAGAAAGATTCACTGCTATCAATAGCCCTAAACAAGTCTCAGATGTTCTCATCATATGACTGATGGTGCAGCTGGTCTCCTAAATCTTGAAGCTATTAGCCAGATAGTTTTCAATCTTGTGATTTTTCTTCTTTTTTCATCAGTCACAATCTTTATCGGTTGCCTGCATTACTGGAAGCAGCCTGAAGAATTTGCTGCCTCTACCTGATGCTGCCCTCAATTGAACGTGATACAACTAGATCTTTGCAAAATAACTTTTTTTTTTTTTTAATACTCAGTAAGCTTTTTCTCTCACATAAAATATCAAAATATTGGCTTTTCCAGATGGGAAGTTGATCCAGATTATTGTGAAGAGGTTAAACAAACACCCCCTTATGACAGTGGGACCAGAATTCTGGATATAATGGATATGACAGTTTTTGATTTCCTAATGGGTATGTTTCATCTCTTTCAAAAATTAAATGCAACATTTAATTAGAATAAGAACCATTTCTTTCTGCAACACTCTGCATAGCTCAGCAGTTTACTAAAGTATAGTTGAAGCTGAATTTATTGTGTGTGCCGTTCTAGATGATTATGAGAAAACGCAGATTTGCATGGTTATGTATTCCCATCAGTGCAGATTAAAGGAATAAATGTTCATAAATTCAGGGTTATGATGAATGCAGGTCAGGCTGGTCTCCCTCACAACAGTTAAGGGCTTCACCATTCGCTTTAGTGAGTGCTTTGCCATTGTAACATCTGGCTCCTGGATGCACATGCAAGGACTGTTCATTATTGGCACATTGTTCTCAACCTGCAGTAGTATTCACTGCTGTTTGCTCTAAAAACTGTCAAAGGAAGGGAAAAAAAAGGTGTTGCTTTGTCACAAAGGCAGCTGTGGTATGTATCAGGAAGTTTTTTTCTGGTTATGTGACCTGATTGGAATAAAATAATTATTAACAAGCAGGTAATAGTGACCTATTCCAAGCCTACTCAGTGGTTAACACTGAGACATTCTCATATGAAACCTGTTCTGCTGCAGCCAGTATAAGGTGTCAACATACATACTTGATTCTCAGACACATGCCAGCGTGGACATGTCGTCTGCCGTTGCCACTACTTAGATTTCTGCAGTGGACTGCAACAGGAGAGGCCAAATCACGGCTCAGGAGCCATATGTGGCATCTATAAGTGACTCAAGACCTCTGCCATGAAGAAAATTCATAGCTTGGCACCAGTACTCTGCACATGGACCTTAAAAAGCAGATCACACGTCTGCCTGCCATGGGTGCCCAGAGAGCGCTGTTCAGCTGTACCACTACAGTAGCATCCTGATCCATACATAGAGCCCTAATATCATTTTGGCTTTCTGGGCAGACAGAAATTTGGACGAAGTTCTTAATCGAGGAAAAACAGAATGTTTGGTCGCAGTTCAAAAAGTTCAGTATGATATTAGCAAAGTCACACGGATTAGCATCCCTGCTTGGAGGATGCATTTTCCCCTCTCTAAGCTAAGCCTCACACCCGGCATGGGTACCATGCTGCTTTGCACAACGTGCTGACCCAGGGCTGGAGCAGCAGGGCTCGTTTGCGCTGATGAAACTCTGCTGGCTCAGGATGTGGCTACCTCGTGGATGACAAGGCTCCCTGAGTGGTTGAGGTGCCTTCGTACTTGAGAGGGATTCCTTGGCGTACCCCAGGAAGGGTTGCTGGAGGGTGGGAAGGTTGGCTTTATCTCCTGGTAAGTTCTCTAGAGCTTAAGTTTAAAAGCTACAGAGAGCTTGAAAAGCTCCCAGAGGCTTAACAGCCCATCTTCCAGGATTGCATATTTTGGGGTTTCCACAGTAAAAGCAAACAAGCTCAGCAGATCTGTTGCTTTCTCTGCCCTATACAGCCATCACATTTGGGGAGTGCTGGCCTTCTCACTGAACTGTGGCTTTGGTATTGCCCTGACCTGCAGGCTCAGCAGCAGGCCAGAGCGAGAATGGTCTTTTTTTCTCTTTATTCCATAGGTAACATGGATCGACATCACTACGAAACCTTTGAGAAGTTTGGAAATGAAACATTTATTATCCACTTGGATAATGGAAGAGGGTAAATATCTTTAATAATCTTTCTGGGAAAAGAAAATAAATAAGTTAGTCTTTAAAACAGCCTTTGTCATGTTATTTCTCTTCTCTTTTAACAGGTTTGGAAAATATTCCCATGATGAACTTTCCATATTGGTGCCTTTAAACCAGTGCTGCAGGTATGTTTCATCTCCCGGGTTGTTTTCCAGTTTCTACAGTTGTTTCCACTAATAGGACTGAAATGTTCAAGTGAATCTTTTGTTGCATACCATGGAGAGGAGAAGGTGTTACCATCCCACCCAGGGAGCCTGACCAGAGCTAGCCCTAAGTGTTGGCACTAATAAATTAAGTGCTTTGTTGAGATCAGGCCCCTGCAGGAGCATGGCTGTGAGCTGTGCGAGAGAGGCTTTGTTAAGACAAAACACACATCCCATGGAAGTCAAGTGGCAAAACTTCCCCCAGCTTGTTCACAACAGCTTTCCTCGGTTCCCATGGCTGGGATTTTCAGAGAGGACAGGTGACATTTAGAGTTTCAGCTTTGCATGACTGGGACACAGGATGAGCTCTGTGTCTGTGGAGGCTCTGGGCACCCCTGCGGGCTGAGCTAGCCAGAGCCTGCGCTGCTGTCGCCCATGCCCCGTGGGCATCATGCGTGTCATTGCCAAGACGAAGGTGACCCTATGAATACTGCCCCAGATCCAGTGGTGCCTTACCCAGCTGAGGGACATGAAGGCTGTCTGCACTTGACTATGCTCCAGGCTGTGCTGCAAAACCTCTCCACCTCTAAGGGCTCCCAAAAATCACTGGGCAGGTGACAATGCCAGCTGCTCGTTAGGCCTGTGACAGTGCCTGGTTCTCATCATTTCAGATCACATAATAAGGTCTTTACACTGTTATTGCTATACTGACTATAAGCCTTTTAGCCCAATAGTGATGAAAATACTGATTTACTTTTTTTTTCTCCTTTTTCTCTTAGAATAAGGAAGTCTACCTATCTGCGATTACAGTTGTTAGCCAAGGAGGAATACAAACTCAGTCTCTTGATGAAGGAATCTTTACTAAAAGATAAAATAGCTCCCATTCTCTACCAGCCTCACTTGGAGGCGATGGACAGGCGGCTGCGGATTGTCCTCAAGGCTGTTAGTGACTGTATAGAAAAGGATGGTTATGACAATGTGGTTGAAAATGACTTTAACACTGATGTTAACACTGTTACAACCGAGAGGTAGTGAAATCGCAAGACTACGTTTTTACCAGCCAAGTAAAGAAGATTCAAAGAGAAAAAAGAAAAAAAGTCTTGCAAAAGACTGTGTATGCCACTTTGTGAATTCAGTGAATTCAGAAATGAGATATAATTGTTCCCAAAGTAGGTAAAATGTAGACTCTGCAAAGGATTAGGTCGTTAAGAAAAATAAGTCTAATGTGATGCTTTTCGTTAGTTCCTAAAGAGACATTATGAAAAGATTCAGAAAATATTCAGATCATTGACAGACAGCAGTCTGATAGCAAAACACCTCCTGTCCTTTTTGTATAGAAAGGAGGCCTTTACTTAATATTTTGTATTTATATATGGTATATCTATGAAACCCGAGACCTACCTACCAAATTTAACTAAGAGGGACGGCATAGTTTTGTGACTCACACTTTGTTTGTGGTGACAGTCCACATAATATTTTGTGTTAACCCTTTAAGTGCTCTAATCCACTGTATCTTATTTAAATTGAATGCTTTTTTCCCCCAGCTACTCAGCATTTAAAGGGTTAAAGCATTATGAACTTCTAAAGGCAAAAAATAATAATAATTATAATAATAATAAATACAGTGGTTACCAGAAGGGAATCTCACTAATTGTGCATTGACAGGAATACTTGAATGTTGGTTTTACAAAGTGATGTAAAATGAGAAGTTGTACTATTTGTCCATAAGGAGGTGGCAGCTCTTATCTTTCTAGACTATCATAGCTGAGCTGCTACTTTTGAACTTTGCTTTTGATAGTTTTGTGTAAATATATACATATATGGGTAAAAAGCTGCTTTCAGCAGCTCTAGGCTTACTTTTGCAGCATTTTTGTGGAATTGTTTGCAACGTGGTAAAAGTGCAATAAAGATATGGCAAAATGTGTAGCCATCATGTCTAAATGGATTTATTTTTCAGTGGAAATCTTGTTCAGAGCACAGCTGTGCAAACCAGCCAAGTATTCCAGAAGCAGTTGCTTAAATTGTCATCCCGTTCTGTAGCAACAGTGAATTGAGCTAAAGTAGGGAATTGGTGATTGTTATACATTACAACTCCAATAAGGACCATGGTGTTGAAAATAGCTAATCTTTCATATGAAAGCATTGTTTGGACTATCGTTTCAACATCCCTTCCTTTTGCAATTACAGCTGTAGAAACAAACTGGAGAGCAACACCTCCAAAAGATTACGGCTTGACACGCTGCCCAGAGGATTTAGATACATCAGTGCCTCTGACTTGGGTAGCAAAAGCCCTTGTAAAACCCAGAATATCTCAGCCTAAATTATCTAGAAATATGGCATTCTTAACCAAATAGTTTTGAATCGTGTTCAGCTGAGTTCACGTAATATGTGTGGAGACTTTCAGACCAAAAGCAAGCTATAAATCAAATAAGTGGCTGTATTTGACTTGTGAAAACGTGGTGTAGTACAGAAGGAATCCCTCATCACTCTTTTGGGTGAGGAGAGAATTTATTATGACAATACTCGTCACAACTATAATTCAAAGCTGTCATTTGTTTCATTTTATATCTTTCTTCTTAGGGGTTTATAAACATATCCTTTTAAAGCCTGTATCCAGATAGACTAAAATGTAGGCATTTCAGCATATTAAAATTATGAGAGAAAGAGGTGCTATATAGTCTCATTCACTTCTTAGGTGAAAAAAAATATGCGTGTTACCATTTTACTGCCAAATTCAAATTCCCATGACTCTCACATACAGGGCATACAAAGACAACAGAACATCACAGGTTACACAACTATCCATAAACTTGGAAAATTTCTGTGGCTTTCTTTCACTTTCCAAGGCCCCCCTGTGGTAGCAAGAATGATCTCTGTAAAACAGTACTTGTACTGGAGCTCTCTCTCCCTGTTAACAAAAACACCCGAAACATGGGATTGTAAAAAGGTGAAATGGGTGATACTATCCTTGCTTTATCCTCAATGCCTGGTGTTGGTTTTCATGCAGGTACAGCTTTTTCTCACCATGAGCTGGTGCCAGGACAGCAGCCAGGGGCTATAAAATCACCTTCCCAGTGCAACTCTGCTACTGGGGTTGGGTCAGCCAGGGGCTCTGGGTCTGCAAACTTTATTTTCTTCGGGAAAGCAGCACTTAGAAGCCTCTTGGCTCAGACGGGAGCAGATATATCGAAGGGCTTTTTTTCTTTAGAAGTTGGATTGTAGGTCAGGAGCCCCTGGCAGCATGGTTCAAGCTGAGGGTCTCTGCAGAAGGCTGCTTGGTACTGTCAGGTATATAAACTTACTGTTACGAACCCAGTTCTGAATTTCTATAAGCAGAATTAGTAATATGTCTACAGAATAACTAACTAAAGGTCACTCATCCTTGCCATATCGTAACCAGCTCTGTAGGGGCTCCAGTTTCTTTCTTTTCCTGAACTTCGATGCTTCTCCTTGAAAGCTCTGCACTACAGCTTTCTAGACTGAATAGAAGAATAAAAATTATTCTTGTTTCCAGTCCTAAATTAGACATACAGAAAAGCTGAAGGGGAGGCTTTTCTTTGGCATGAGACATGCAAGTGTCTTGGAAGAGGGAGATATTTCTTAAGATGCTGGGAAAGGTTTCCTTTCGTCCGTGCCTCCGATGAGAAATTGGGATGAATTAACCACACCTGAGCAGTGCAAGCCTGAATGTGCTGCACGGCACTCAGGCAATGAATGGCAAGAGCTGAGTTCAGGCCCTTCGTGTGGCTGGGGGAGATGAGGACATGGGGCTGATCTGGAGGACATTGCAAGAAGTGGAAGGGCTGATTAATTAGAGAAGCTGTGGAGTTGCTTCTCATTATCTACCAGGAAGCTCCAGTGTGTTTGCGTTCACACTGCCAGGTAGCTCTAGCTACCTTTGACTCATATTAATTTTCTAGGTGTTTGGGAAGGGAAAAGAATTATTGCCTCATTCTGCTCTTTCTTTTTTACATGGGCATGACAGAATCGAAATTGGGCCTGGGGAGGGAACTTGTGGCTCTGCCTTTCAGCTCTTGGGGCTAATACAGCCTTGAGAATAGCTCTGTACAGCCCAGGGAGGGGCAAACCTCTGCTTTCGGGGTGCATCTGTATTGCCCCAAGACAGCTAGCAGCTAGCCTGAATTTCTTCTCCTGAAGACCTCACGGGTTTTTGAGAGCCTTTAGGCAAAAGATGTTGTTCTCCAAGGGTGAAACACATCCTTTTACAGACAGTGACAGCTTTCTGAGCTATCTCAGCAGTGGGTACAATTTGAGGGTCCCTTTGCACAAGGACAGCTTGTTCTTGGGGGTTCTTGTTGAGAGGGCACAGTGGGTTTGGTGTGCAGGTCATACACTCTGGCAGACACGTGTGACAGCAGATTACCACCATGCAAGACGTGGCTCTGAAAGGGCTGTCATTGTGCATTAGGTCAGTAATCCATGAACTAAGGAGGATTAGCATGACACAGTGTAACATCTCTTTAGGAGTCCTACATATCTACCAGACAAAAAGATTCACTCAAAGAAGATAACTAAATGTCGGAATCCAATTGGTTTGTCTCCAAATCTCAAACATGGGTGTAGCAACAGCACCTAGACAATAACATACCAAGAAATCTGCAGTAGCTATCAGGGGCATAACATGTTCAGCACAATAAATATAGTATGCACAATAAATAACAGATAAAAATAGATAATATACTTCTAAAAGCACCTAATTACAACTGTATCTGACAGCCTAGAATAGCTTACTGCATTCTCCTGAGTAATTCAGATGAAAGCCTCATTTTGTTTTGCTGTTTTTCTGTTATTTAAGCATCAAAGGAAGTTCACACAAATTAAAGAAAAAAAGCTCTCATTGTTTGAATTAGATATCACTGTTGTGATCAGCAGTACCAGGCAGAGCCTGTGATGTATATACAAGCTGGAAGCCTGAAGGAGATTGCAATGTAAGCAACAGCAAGAAGTGTTGTGTAGGAGGGAACCTGGGATTTCAGCCTGATTGTTGCCTTTGAGCACTGAACTGAGAATGAACTTGTCTTATGTGGGCATCAAAGGGAGGAGCATCCAAAGGGTATTCTGGTTCCTGCTAGTGGGTCACGGTATGTATAGGGCCAAGGGGACATCCTGCTCTCTTCCATTGTAGCAACAGCATCATCCCCTTAACACATCCAAACTCTGCCTGAAGACTGACCCTGCATCAAGGCTGTTGTGGCCCCAGCCCAACAGTGCTGATTTTCCAGCTTGGAGCTGGACATATATTAGAGCCTTGATAATTTGCAGCCAGTGTGATGTAGCAAACTTGCCTTTAGGTCTGAATGTATGACCACAAAATTAATTTTCCAGAAATTATTCCAGATGCCGGTTGATTCTATGGACTTTCTTGACAGTGCTAAAATATTTGAGGCTCAATAAGCAGAAACGAACATGCACAAGGAAGATGCTTTTTAAACTGTAAATTGAGTGTTTGAGGGAAATGTTGAGATGCTTGGGACAAGTTTTCACATGGAATTTCAAGTTATTACCAGTTAGAAGCTGCTGAATTTCTTGAGAATGTGGGGGGTTTTTTATGCTAAAAGTGATTCATAGGTAGCCTCCAGCCATAACTCAGCCTGTGACCAGATCAAACTGAATTATCTGCTTCCTTCTACATTTGCATCAGTAAATTACCAATCCAATGCTTTTGGGGGCTGACTAGAAAAAAAAAAAAAGTTAAAAGCAATTCGATTTGGTGGGTCAAAAGACCTGAGAACTGAGGTCAGACCAGCTCTGGTCATGAGTGAAAACAAAGCATAAGCAAAAAGGAGGCTATTGATATCGTAGTACCAGTACCTCTTCTTCTAATGCAAGGTCGAATCAATAGTTTTTGTCTAGAGATTATCTTCAGGAGCTGCTGGAATACACGCTGTCTGCTGCTGCATCTTTTTAGAGACACTAAACACTTTCCAAGCTTTTCCATTTATGCAACTTTGATGTAGTTAACATGAAGAAGTAAGGGGATTTTGAGCAGGATGGAAGGAATGCCCACCACTATATGAAGACTTACGTGCTGGGAGATCAGCTCCTCTCTTTCTAATGACCTTCACACACAATCAGC